CGCTTATAACAGCTGAAGAGAAATTATCTGCTCGATTTTTTATTTCTTTTATAATTTCTCATTTTATGATCATGTACTTTCTTGGATATGAATTATTATCATAGTATTTTTTTAAGTTTATTATTTTCTTTGGTAATGGGTCAAAATATACCTGACCCACGATATAAATCATCTATTATATTAGTTGATACTAAACTTTATTTCTTTGGTGGAAATACGGGTACAAATAGTAGTAAAGAAACATGGTATCTTGATTTATCAAGTTCATTTGATAAAATTATTAGCCTGTAAGTATAAATTGATTATTGATTAAAACTTATAATAATTTATCATTTGAAACCTTTCTAATTATATTTAAATTAAATTATTATTAGTCCGTGAGTATAGATTTTCGAATCAAAACTTTTTATAATTTATAAAAATTTAATTAATTATATATAATAAAATTGCTAGCTCGTAAGTACAAATTGATTTATAAATTGAAGCATATAATTTATAATTTATAAACTTTTTAATCAACTATATATAACTAAAAATTACTAGCCAGTAAGTATAAAATAATTTATAGATTAAAACATAATAATTTATAATTTATAAAACTTTTCTAATTAATTATGTTTAAATAAAATTATTAGAGTGTCAGTAAATGAAGTAGCTTAGTTCAAAACTACGAATAGGCTACTGTGCCTTGATTTAAACTACTGTTCATAACTACTTTACAGAAAGTAGTTTTTTTTATGAGTTTATGATAATACTAGTGCGATGGGTGGCGCATTCGCGCCACCAATCTTATTTAGTTATTTAGTATTTTTTGTTAGTTTGGTTTTTGAAGTGGTTGTGATTTAGATTGTTTATGGTTTAAGGAAGTTTTAAATAGTTTCGATTTTTGTTCATGAGATATGTATAATGTGAAATTTAAGAGATATTTTATTTTTTTAAAAAATTTATATTTCTTCATATCAATCAGTTGACCTGTCAGAGAGTTTATATGATAGATTTGCATGCTTATTGATTAAATTAATAGACATGCTAAATTTTATATTTTTTTTAATTTTTAATCTTCTTTGAAGTTAAATATAAAGGTTAAGTTAAAACTTTAGATACTTATTCGTGAGTATCTGAAGATTTTTTTGTACGAAAATTGAGTAGTTAATAATAAAGTTAAAAATAGTCTTTATTTTAAAGTTGAACTACCCTTTATAAGGTTTCTTAGTCAAAAGATTGACACACCATCCATAATTATAATAAATATGTTTCTTAAATTAAAAGACTGACTCATCATCAAAGAATTATGATGAAATATTTACAATATTTTATAGTGGAACAGTTTTTGACTTAAGGAAGATAGAAAAGGAACGTTCAAATTTATGATTAAGATTATTTTTAACTTTATTATTAACTAGTACTCAGATTTCGTACAAAGAATCTTCAGATACTCATGAATAATTATCTGAAGTTATGACCTTTATATTTAACTTCGAAGAAAATTAAAATAAAAAAAAATTATATAAATTTAGATATGTCTACTAATATGATTAATAAGTATACAAATGGGTCATTATTTTCGAACCCGGGCCAATTTTGTAAGTTACACTGTATACGTATAACATATGGTAATTATTTTTGAACCCAGTCTAGTATTATATTTATTGCTAATAAACTTTTGGTCTGGAGTATTGTGGTCATGAGAATTTTTATCATTTATTGGGGTGTATGTTTTGAAAAAATTTTTCTGGTTATTACGTATTTCTTGATTGCATTTTTTTTTTGCACGTATGAATTATGAATTCTGTGCCAGGTTTGTGGCGCAGTTGTACAATTAACAAAATTTTTTAAAGTTCATTGTAGTTAGGGTTAGAGTTTAGACTAAGGTTAGAGGTTAGGTAATTATATAGTAAAATCGCTCAAGGAAAACTTTTTGCTAGAGCAGATTTTTGGGAAATAAGTGATTTTTGACAAAACGAACATTTGTTCTGATTTGCAGATCAGGTATCTGCGCCACAATGATCGACAAAACCTGGCACAGAATTCATGTTACGCAGATACAATAGTGAAAGTTAAATACGTTCGCAAGATAGAGAAGAATGATAGTAAGTTTTAGTAGTTTGGGCTATTGGCGCTTACCCTGTGTAACGTGAAGACAATGACATTGAGTTGAATTTATTTGTACCTTCTAATTCTCAAGAGAGAGACTCTGAAACTCAAGCTGTCTTTGAAAAAGACTGTTTTTATTCAGTTCGTGGTAAGATCGTACCTGGATTTTATGAAGGAAATAAAAGGCCGAAGGTATTAGTTAATCCTTTTTATTTTATTTAGTATGCTTATCCTTTATTTGATTTTAGATGACGGTTTCTATTTCGACTGTGTAACTGTTCTTAATAAAGATGCCAAGTCTAATAAATGTCCTTTGAAGATTTCCTTGGTGGGAATTCCTCAAGAATTACCACGGATAGTAGCAAATGATGAGAATGCAATATTTAATGTGATGGTAAATGATTATGCTGGAGAGGAGTATAATTTTACTGTAAAGGTTGTTTTTCCGCATCTGGTCTCACGATTTTCGCATTTGAAAACTATAATTCGTCTGCAAGAGTCACTTATCTTTGTTGTTGGACAATTAGAAGTCATTAACAATGTCTTTTATATTTACATGAAGGATTTCAATTTTATTGATTATCATTTTTTATCCAAGCAAAAGGTTTTTGATAGCAGTAGTTCTCGTAATTCGTCAGAAGTTAGTTATACTATTCGGTCAAAACTTCTTTCTATTTACCGAAATATTACTGAAACTTCAAAGGAAGCTTGTGAATTTAAGGCATCAAGGGAGGTGACAGGTAAATTTTCTTCGGACCGTTCAATATTCGACTATTTTAATAATTTTGCAACTACTTTAAATGATGTTGGTGATGACGAATTACATTCGGATGAGGTTATAAATGCAAATAAATCTGTTCAGAGTGATGATATTAAAGACTCACAAATTAAGAGAAAGCGTCAAAGAAGTACTGTTAATAACAATAAGAAAAGAAGGCGATTTAATAATCGGTCTTTACGTGGTACTTTAAGATCAAGTAAACCTGATCGTGACGTAGAAATTGAAAAGGAATAATCATATTTATTCTTTTTTTGATTTTATATTGTTGTTGCTTGATTATATGTATAGTACATATATAGTAGGGAGTTAAATATTAATCTTTGATAAGTATAAGCACGAGATGATTGTAAACAACTGCAGTAAATTCAAATATGTTCAGAATAAGTATAATTCATTTTATGAAAATAAATTGTTCAATAGATATCCTTAATAATATTACTACCAAAAAGTTACTAATATATGATAAATTATGATATATATCTTAAACATTTTAGCTAATAAAATTAATACTGATTAGTATAAGGTATAAAAATTCTTTATAAACACTTTGAAGAGTGTTAGTATGGTAAGAAATGTGAATGAATTCTGAAGGTTGCTGGTGTGTCTTAAAGATAGTTGCACATGTATGTATACAAATCAGCCTGTATTCTTGAAATTGTTGACAGGTGCAGGTTAATGAGGTCAGATTCACAACACGAAAATTACTATTATTACTTTCAACTTCAAAGACTGACTTATTAAATTGATGAACCATTCGATTATGGCATCTTTTAATAACAGATTGAAGTTGCTGAGTGGTTGCTTGTGGTAATACTGTCTTCACCAAAGAGCATGTTGTGTGATGATTGTAATAAAGCATATTGACCTTGCGAATAAGCAAGATAATTGCATCAAATAGCTCTGTGAGGCACTTATCATCTTGGCCCCCACTTCAGAATGAAAATAATTCATAATATCACAAGGTCGAAGTACTGGTATATCTCTAACTAGTAGAGCAGCAAACTTCACAAGATACGATCCACGTGTTTTGAATGATTCCATAAAGTTGGACAAGCTTGATCATGAGGAATCAACTTTACTATATGAATAAAACTATCTTTACGCTTGTTAGCTGAAACAGTAAAAAGGAATGAACTATCTTCATTCTTAGGACAGACAGCAAGTAGCTTATTTGGTTTGTTAGTTCTAAACTTATAAAGCGAAGAGAATTCGATAGAGTAGCTGTCCAAGGCTGAGTGACATTTTCTATATTAGTAAAAGTACTGCCGATCTGTAATGTATCTGACATGATGTTTGTTTTAAGCAAGTTTTTGAGGATATATTAGCGAATTGAATAGACTAGAAGAAGTATGTACATTTTTTATTGCGCTTTTAAATTATTTGAATTACTAATTTATTATTATTGCATTTCTTATGCGCTTGATAATTAATGACTACATTGTGTCATATTCGAGTTATTGGTCTACAGGGCTTGATCACGGGTATTTGAGCGCAAAATTATTTTGGGCCCTTATTTGTAATAATTTTCAAATATTGGGCCCCATCTTTAATTATTTTCATTTTGGTCCCTTATTTGTAATTATTTTCAATTTTGGGCCCTTATTTGTAATTTCCCCAAAATTTTATATAGTTTTGTTTGATAAACATGTTGATTTTTTTCAAACTTTAAGCAAAGATATCTCAGTAACTACTGGGCCAAATTCAATGAATTTTGTTTATTTGAATTTTATGAATCTATAGAATTCAAAAAAAAATGATCAAATTTGGCTTGATAATTACTGAGATATCTTCACTCAAAGTTTAATAAAAATTAAATCTGCAGGGTATAAATATTAAATTTGGGGTATAACAATTGGGCCTTTTTTTATATACTTTTTTAACATGTTTAATAAGTTTATATTAACTTTTTTTAGATTTTTAGATTTTTTTCTTATTGTTTTTGATATTTGTAGCATTTTTGTTTTTTATATAATTTTTTTGAATATTTAAAATACTAACTATTTTTAATTTTTTAGATTTTTAGATTTTTCTAAAATATTTATAGTATACTCTTTGAAGTGGATCTTTCTAATATTTTTTTTTAATATTATAGTATTTTTACAATTTTTTTTAGCAGGTTAAGTATATTAATATTCTTTTTTTGACTTATAAATTTTTTAATGCTTCTAATATTTATATATAACTTTTTGAAATAGATTTTAGCTTTATCTCTTAGTATTTTTTTTAGCAATCTTGATATTTTTTATATTTTTTTAATAAGTTTAGTATGCTATTTTTTTAGATTTTTAGATCTTTTTTATTGTTTTTAGTATTTGTGGTAAGAATCTTTAAAGTAAACCTTTGGCTTTACTTTTTAGTATTTCTTTTAATATTTTTATATAATTTTTTGTATATATTTATAATAATAACTATTATTCTTTTCTTTTTAGATTTTTTGATTTATTTCTTTAGTATTTATAATATGAATCTTTGTATAAACCTTTGACTAAACTTTTAAAATTTTATTTTTTTTTGTTTTTTTTTATATAATATTTTTTATACTAATTTTCATTTCTTTTTTTAGTTTTTTTAAAATTATTGTTGAAACTATCATTGAAGTTATTGCTAAAATCATTATTGAAGTTATTATTGTTGGTACAATTTTGTATTTTAAAATAATTGCAAAGTGAATTATATAATTTTATATAATTTTGAAATTTTATTATTTTAACTAGGATGAGTAAGTAGATAATTTAGTTTACTTTAAACAGGTGGGTAATATAGGTTACTTTTTTATTCTAATTAAAGTAAATAGAAGACAATTAAAGTTCTTTTCTATTATGTTTGTTATACAATAATGTATGTGTTTATTTTGTAATAAAAGCTTTTAAAATAAAATTTTTGGGGAAATTTTATTTTCACCCGGGTTAATATCACCCGATAACTATAATGTCATTTGTGTAACAAAAATTATTGGTATTAGTAATATTTCGGGTGACTTTAATCTGGGTGAAAATATAATTTCCCTTTTTTTTAAATAAATAAATTTTATTGTACGTTCTTCTTTTTAAAAAAATCCATAATCACTTTTATATTTATAAAATGTTGCCAAGGTTTCTATTTTATTAAACATCTGATTTTGGTTAAAATTTAAATAAAGATATCACGATGAATGTCTAACCAAATTTGATGAAATTTTTTATTTGAAATCTAAAATTCGTAGAATCCAAATAAAAAAAATTTTATTGAATTTGGTTAAGTATTCGTCGAGATAGATTTGTTCAGAATTTTAAGAATTCAATTATAACTTGCATTTTTTTGATCGATGATGGTTAAGTTACTATCACGTATCAGTAAGTTTTTGTCATTGGTTTGCGCCACAGAATATCACATGTCAGCAATTTTTTGGTGGCGATACTGGGGTAGTTGTCAATAGACCATCTCTTGATTATAAAGGTTAATATTGTACATTTAATACATTTAATTGTAAACAAATAGTTGAATTAAAGACTAAATATCTAAAAGAAGTAATACAGTAGAACCTTGGCATTTTGAATAATAGTCATTTGTTAGTTATGGATCCAGTTATTTGGTTGTCGCATGATACGAGTTGACAGTACTTAACTAACAAGAAAACCTGATATTTGTCACAACCGATCTTGCTTGTGATGCGTGCTAAAAAATATAAACAATTGATAAAAATAGAATAAAATCATATTATAAATTTTCTAAATTAAGCATAGCAATTTTTAATTGTTGGATTTGTGGGATGTTGTCCACGACCGTATATGGGGTGTTATCAATAGAAACAGGCCATTTTTACGTACGTACGTACATAACGATAAACAAATTTTTTGTGTAAATCAATTTTAAATAATGATCTACATATAGTAATTAGGGTAGCTGCGCAACGTGTGACGCCGCGCAGGACCAGTACAATCACGTATGCACGTGTAAATTCGATTATT